CCCACCAAACAGGGGACCCCTCACCCCACCGCGGCTGGACCGGGCAAGGGACACCATGCCAACAGGACAGGCAGCTGGCTTCAGGCCACAGGCTATGCCCTCGGGTCAGGGCACCAGTTAAAAAGGGCACCTGCCATTGGGTAACTGTGCCCCCAGTCTTGTTGGTATGACATGACATCTTCAGAGCTGGCAGCAGGGCTTCAGTTCTTGGGGAATCAGAAATGCCCGTGTGTGTCCCTGACTGCGCTGCCTCCCTGGGGGGCCTTCGAGTTTGACCCTCCGGGAGTTTATCCTGCCCAACTGGGCGGGGTCCTCCTGGCCTGGCTCATCACCTGATCCACTCCAGCCCAACTCCGTTTCTTTCCCGGTCTGTCCTTATCTGTTTCATTCACTCAGACGCGCCCCGGCCCGCGGCAGACCGCAGCACCAGCTAAGTGCACACGGTTTCCACCGGGCTCTGGGCTCCTCTGCACAGGGAGGAGGGACGCCGAGACCGCCCAGTGTGTACTGAGGGGGGCGCGGGGGGCGCCAGCCTCACCTGCAGTTTCCGCAGCTGCTTGATGGCTTCATCTCGGTTCTTGTTGGCCGAGTCGATGTGGGCCTCCAGGTCCTTGAGGTCCAGCTCCAGCTTCTTGCGCGCGGCCATGGCCATCGAGCGCTGCTTCCGCTCGTCCTCCAGCTCGGCCTCCATCTCGCGCACCTGCGGGGGACGGCTAGCCTCTCAGCACGTGGGACTCCGCAGAGAGCTGGGACCCACCCAGAGAGGCCGCCCTCGAAGGAGCGACAGAGCCATGGGGGGAAAGGGTGCCCGGAAGCGCTGGTGGCAGCAGGAGAAGAGTGAGCGCCCACCTGTCGGACCAGCTGCTTCTTCTTCTCCTCGCTCTGCTCGTCGCGGCCCTGCAGGTCCCGCTCGAACTGGGCCTTCATGGCCTGCAGGTTCACCTCCAGCCGCAGCTTGGCGTCCTCTGTGGCCTGCAGCTCGTCCTCCAGCTCCTCCAGCTGCGTCTTCATCTCCTCCACCTGCTGCTCCAGGGCCCGCTTGGACTTCTCCAGCTCATGGACCTGCCACGGGAGCCCGGTCAGAGCCCAGTCCCTGCTGGCCACGTCTACCCTCGCCCTGGGACAAGCTGCTCAGGGGAGCCCAGTCAGGGCACGCAGCCCACAGGGACCCGAGAGCCCCCTCTGCACAACCTCCCTGGCGGCCCCGGGCCTCCCAGCGGGCAGGGTGGGCACGCACGCTCTTGCCAACGTCGTCCTTGGAGCTCACGAGGTCCTCCATCTCCGTGCGGAACTGCTTGTTGAGCCGCTCCAGCTCCGCCTTCGCCTCCATGGCCTCCTCCAGGGCGCGGGCCAGCGACAGCGCCTTGGTCTCCTTCTCCCGGGCCTCCGCCTCGGCCCGGTCACGCTCCTCGGCGTACTTGGCCGAGATGGTCTTCTCCTCGGCCAGGAGCTGGGAAATGGACCAAAGCAGCTTATGGACTGAATGGCGTTCCCTGCGGCCCCTGCAAGATCCAGGACAACACCCCAACCCTGTGCCTGGGGTGTGATCTTGTCTGGAAATGAGGTTTGTCCTGTGTGCTCATGAGGCCTAAGTAGTATAAGGTAGATTAAGCCCCATCTCTCCTGAATCATTACAAGACAGAAGAGATAGAGACACACCACAGGGGGCAGGCCCACTCCTGTCCCCCCTCCCCCCTAGCCAAGGTACACTTAGAGAACAGCTGCTGGCAGCTGGCACTGACAAGGCAGGGCCTCCCCTGCTAGAACCACAAGCTGGGTTCAAACCAGCGGCCTCCTGAACGCACCAAACCAAGTTCTGATCCCCAAAGCCACAAGGTCAGCAGCTGGAAGCCACCAGCTGCTCTGTCTGCTCTCCTAGATTTTACCGTCACTGCTACGCGTCCTGTGGGTCACTATGGATCAGAACGGCGGAACAGCAGTGGGTCTCTTTGGAGAGAAAGCCACCCACTAGCAGTATCAATCTCATATCACGGCTGTGCTGGCTCACTGAGACAGACACCTGCCAGACAGTGCACAGCAGCGTTCTTAGGAAGAGCTAAGCCTGCTGACCACGGGCGGCACAAAGCCCGCCAGTCCCTGTTCCCCCAGGATGAGGACACACGGATTCTAGGACCGAGGGCAGAGGGTACCACAGAGATGCTCAAAGCTGCTGTCAGGGGGAGAGCAGGGGCGGTGCCTGATGGCCCATGCTGGTCCCCCAAATGGCACATGTTATCAGGAGCTAAAGAACCCTGATGGTACGGTCGGGATGCATCAGGCCATTAACTGCAAGGTCAGCCTACATGACCCCCCGCACCCGGCCCACCCGAAGGCTTCCTCGCTGCACTGTCCAGGTGCCTGTGCGCTGGACTGCACCCCCCAAGGAGGCCAGGTCCCAGGGGCCCAGGCCACCACGCACCTGGTCAAACTTCTTCTGCTTCTTCTCCAGGTTGGACACGCTCTGCCGCTGGTGGTCCAGGTCCACCAGCAGGTCGTCCAGTTCCTGCTGCAGCCGCGTCTTGGTCTTCTCCAGCTTGTCGTAGGCCGCGCCCTTCTCCTCGAAGCGCTGGCTCAGGCCCTCCAGGTCCTTCTGCAGCTTCCTCTTGGCCTCCTCCGAGGTCTCCAGACACCCCACGCCGTCCTCCATCCTCTTCCTCATATCGGTCACCTGGGCAGGAGCAGGAGGGGGCAGACACCCTGGATGGCACCTGGTCCGGTGATGGACCCATCTCTGGGAGCTGGCCTGCCTACTCCTGACGCGGGACACCAGGTGCCAACCCAAGCTCTCCCCTTTGGCTGGGAACAGCAAGCACACGGTTTCTGCAGAGGGGCATCTGCCTTGAGTGTGGACCTGCCCTGCCTAGCAGTGGGTGGGGATAGGGGTGCGGGCAGCCTCGGAAGGCTTCAGCCTCCTCCGTCCCAGGCCCCTCATTGCAGACTGAAGCCCAAAGGGGCTTGTCGGCAGGAGGTGGCCAGGAGGCATTTGTCCCAAAGCCCTTCTTGTACCTGGAGATACCTTTACCCCGCCGTGGGCACGCTGGCTGCTCTGCGCCAGGCTGTGAGCCCAGCCTGCGCAGTCGGCCCTCTTTAGTCCAAAGTTAGGAACGTGGACGCTA